AATATATATACATAACTTTGGCTTTTGGAATTCTTGATAAACGAAGTTTCATAAAAAAAAAAAGTTTTAGATCGGCCGGAAACCCCGTTCCGCTACATTGATTCAGTGACAAGCTCTCGATAGAAACGACATTAAGCTTCAGAAACCATACAGATACCCGCCATAGAAACCATACAGATACACGCCATAGAAACCACACACAACCGGACACACTAATTGCGCTTTCACATATACGACACGCATACTTTAATTTACGACACGCATATTTTAATTTACGAATTTACGACATCCAATCCTCACCAGGAAAGAACACGTAGCCTTGATAGCTGGTATCTCCGGCAGTTGTAGCGATGCCACTGCGCATTGGATGACTGATTCCAACATGGCGTCCAATCGGAACAGCATCACTGGGTCTGCCTTATTTAGCACCTGTATGGTGTATAGTCAGTGTATGTACATAGTGTGATGATTGTTCTTATTAAACATAGTGCGTTTATGAATGTTGTCTGGGATGTGCATGACGGAAGTAGGCTTGCACGGTTAAGTTTAGTACATCGCATGTGTTTGGCGTAGCTTGTGAATGTGGATATGGCAAAACCCTAAAAACCCTAAGACTGTGGTAGTGGTTTTTTGGCTTCAAACTCAAAAACTTAAAAGTTCTACAAGATGCTCATTAGCTTTAGGGTATAGAGTATAAGGGTTTAGGGTATAGGCTGAGGGTTTAGGGTGCAGTGTATAGGGTTTAGGGTTTAATAGTATAGGGTATAGAGTTTACGGTTTAGAGTATAGAGTATAGGGTATAGAGTTTATGGTTTAGGCTATAGAGTATAGGTTATAGAGTTTATGGTTTAGGGTATAGAGTATAGGGGATAGAGTTTACGTTTTAGGGTATAGAGTATAGGGTATAGAGTTTATGGTTTAGGGTATAGAGTATAGGGTATAGAGTTTATGGTTTAGGGTATAGAGTATAGGGTATAAAGTTTATGGTTTAGGGTATAGAGTATAGGGTATATGGTTTAGGGTATAGAGTATAGGGTATAGAGCTTATGGTTTTGGGTATAGAGTATAGGATATAGAGTTTATGGTTTAGGGTATAGAGTATAGGGTATAGAGTTTACGG